GTGATGCTCGGCACGAAAATACTTGCAATCATGCTATATTTTCTATTTTTATGTGTTTAATTAGGTACACTTCACAAAAGATGAATGCTTCTATTACTTGCAAAGAGAGAGAGAGAGAACAAGAACAAATGCTCCTTCTACTTAGGAGTTTGCTTGGTTACATACTAAGAAGGGAAACAAAAGGCCTAACATCTTCAGTAATGAAAAAGTCAATTGATAGGCGAAGCCATCACAATATCAAAGGATTAATCCCAGCAATTCTGACTCAGGTGACAGTTCACAGGGGTCAGAGTGGCTGACACTGACCTCAAAAGCAGGTTTTAACTATTCAACATACTGAAAGCTGCTGGGCTATCACACCATTAGAATGGAGCAAACTGACAAATCAATTTCATCAATGAGATGACTTTTTTTTTTTTGGAAATAGGCAGATCCGCCAATCAACAAATCCCTGTATTTCTTACACAGGTGGTTGGACAAAAGCCGAATGCACAATCAAAGAAATTTTATATCTACCAAATGCCTTTGTACAAAACCCACTCTCGCAAGTTTCCTTAGGGACAATTCAAAACATTTAAAATATTTTCACCTATAGTTTCTGGAAATTTAAAATACTTTTAAATCCTTCCATTTATTGCTTTGGAATAATCTGTATATTTTATTTAGAACTGGCCAGAGTGGGTAGTAATGTCAATTTTCTCAAATAACAATATTTGAGAAAAACAGCAAACAGAGCACAGCATGTACATACACTGCTTTCTGTTCAAAAGGTGTTTGCAGTGCTTATTGTTAAAGAGTCACTTTAACCAAAGTTTAAAAAAGAAATAATGATTTGGTCTCTAGCAGCAGCAGAAAAAAAAAAAGTTCATTATAGGAAGCTTACAGTAACTTCATGTCCTACTGAAAACAGACTTCTCGTTGATTGATTCTTTATCTTTAGTTAAAGCAATATACAGGTAACCAAAGATGGATTTTTTTATATTATTATCATAAATCCGTACCTTTTGAAGATATATGCAGGCTAATAAATCCCTAAAACCTCCTGATTTTGAGTTAGTACTTTCTGATATTTCATGTCTATTGCAGGAAAAAAAAAATCTAACAAAAAAAAAGTTAATTATTTGGTATTTTGACTTGGCTTGACGTTTAAAACTTCATGGCTACAAGAAATATTTGGAAGCGTCAAAAACACTAGTTTAAGTTTGAGTTTATACACACCAAAATATTTGAGAAGCTTTCCTTCCTGTTTGCCTGAAAAATTAAACACTGATCTAGCCACCGAATTAGGATTCCAGAACAGTGAAGGATTAGTGCAAATATTTTAATTAAATAATGTAAAAAGAAAATTTAATGTAGATATCTTCATTAATTGTCTGCAAAAATTCAACTGTTGACAAATTACTTCTAAACCAGTAAAATAAAGCGTGCTTTCTCTTTTTTTTTTTTTTTTTTGGAAGAGAATGACTTCAGATCTTACACCAAATTGCTGGAGATGTATAGTTTTATTTGCACACTAGCTTAAAAATGTTGATAAAGTTTTCATATTTTCATATTGATTTGGACTATTCACTTGGGGAGCATTTCTGCTCTAAGCATTTGAACAAACTGTGACCAATACGTATGGTTTTCTTGTCAAGAACTGCCTTTGTAAAAAATCACTTGGGAGTTTCATGCACTTCAAAATTCTCTGTAAGCGATGCTGCGAGATTAAAAGCTCAATCAGAAGGGACTGAATCTAATTGCAATTATAGAATTAAAAGATTTTCCTTCCTAATACTTATCTCTGAAAAGCTGTATTTTTATAAAATTGCACAGACTGAAGAAGCACTCCGTTTCTGCTGCAGAAACTAAGCCCTTCTATAAAGAATATTCTGCCCTAAAATTTTAGCCACAACAACAAACCAGTCCACTGAGAGTGTTTCCCTATTTATGAAACCTACAACTGTGTTACAGGATGAAAAAATTCCCGAAAAATCAGATTTTTAGCTACATAAGATCTTAAAAAAATCGGAACACTAGGAGAAGTTTAGATTGGACAGGGACCATCTGTCCAACTACAGATACAGGCTGTAGTACCTGCAGCTTTTACCTGGCCTTAAGTAACTTATTAATTGCATCTCCCACCATAGGTGTTCAGCAATTGCTTGTCCACAGTAGTCCATCATCTAGAAAGGCAACATAGGCAAACTTTGCAGGATAACGACATTTTTCCTAGACCATTGTCTCTTCTTTGTGCTTATTCTACCTTGGTTTATAATTGGTTTATAATTATCTTTGCAAAAAACAGGAACTCAACCACAGATACCAGAATTGTATAATCTAAATAAAATAAAATAACAACAACAACAACAACCAAAGATTAGCATAGGTAATTCTAGATCTAAGACAGAAACTGTTTATCTATCATATAAAGATGAGGAAAGATTTTTGCTTAATTTATCAGGTTATCTAGGAGCTATTCACTCCATTTACGAAGAATAGAAACAGCCTGAAATCTGTGCTATTTCAAGTGAAGTAGCTCTTCACAGAAACGTACTGTTGATATCTTCCAGTCATCCTGTCTTCATAAAGCTATTTAAAGGAATTCAAAGCTCCTACGTTGAATCACTTTTTGTGCTAAAGCCTTATTTTAAGATTTATGATCATAAAAAGAGAACTTCTGAAACAAACAAAGAGCAACAAAAAATACCAGCTCCAAACCCCAAGCAAAACCATGGCAGGAGGTTCTGAATCCAGAGAAAGCTAAGACAGAAGTTAGTCCAAGTGGTCAAAGCCATTGCCACAAAACAGGTTAGATTGTAAGGACACTAACACAAGACACACATGGTTTAGAATGGGGTGAAAGTACAGAAGATAGCAAATTAAACGTTTGCAGGCATAGAACCTACTATTTTTGTTACATTCTCATGCAAAACCCTAGAAAATATCATCTTTCCATTTCCTAAAGCCACACATGGGATTCTGGACAGCTGAGGCAGCTGTAATGTAAAGGTCACTTGTTAAAATCTTACTTTAAAATACATTCGTTTGTTTTCAATGCCAACTTCTGATGTGTTGAAGTAAAAATGTAGATTTGTACTTATTATTATTATACCTTGCCCCTACCCTTCAATTTTCCATCTAAGGTCAGAGGAACAGTTGTTGATAAGCCTCATCTGATCTGCTTTTCAGGCATTATGTTTTGGGAAAGAACAGTGTTATTTTGGTAATATTTACTGAACTGATGTTAAAGGTAGATATATGTAGAGCTGCGTCAACACACAAAGACGTAGGGGTGAAAAAACAACAGCAAAAAGTAATCAGGAATTTTAGAAAGGTCCTTGTGAATAGAATATTAAGTGCAACCTCATTTCTCCCTTCCTTCATTATTATGGTAATGTTCGTGCATCTCTAGTCTGAGTTGTGCCACTTGTTTCTTTTCACACTACTCCATCCTCAACTGCAACTCTAAACCCACCCACCAATCTTTAGTGCTTTTGTCAGCATTCTATCCACAAAGTCCTTTCTAAAAATTGCGTGTAAATAATATAAATAATTTACACAGATATTTTGTGTGTAAGCTACATTTTACTTTTTTTCCATCTACTAGCCACAAGGAAGAAAAAAAAGCAAGCTACAAAGAAGCATGATAGATATTAATCATGTCTGACCATCAGTGAAACAAATGAATTTTGCGTTTATCAAGGAAGAAAACTAAGATCCGACAAGGAAAAATACATAGAATATACTGGATAACAACAAATAAAAGAAAGATTTGCTGTAGATGCTGACTGAGCATAATGCAACATTTCACAAAGCAAATGCATACAAAACTATAACTGTTGTTGGAAGTGTTCTGTGATCAGGATCTGTTATGGATCTGAAGTGTATAGAGTTATTGATTATTTTTTTTTTCATGTTTCTTACTTTTCTAAAGCCATCCGGATAAGAATCGCTTTCAGTGGTAACCTCCCTGACGTTACCCACAGCCATTCTGAGATACAGGATTGCCAATGTCAGTGGTGTATTAACTTTGGAACCTGGTAACTGCTCAAATGTCAACATTAGGTAGGATTTTTAAAAGATGCTTAGGCAAAGAAGCAGTCTCTTGATTCCAACATGCCCCACTGGAAGTCTGAAGCACTGTTACCTTCTCCACTACTGACCACCTTAGCAGAAGCATCCAACCAATCCATCTGGTCTGCACTTCCAAATTTCTTCTCACTAATCCAAACCTGCCCTAAACTTCTACCTTATATTTCTTCTTAGATAGTTCACCTTATTCATGCGTTTATGCTGCTGGCAATGCTATTGCAAGCCTTCAGTAACATAACAATATGATCACAGTTTGGGAATTAAAAATATCTGAAACTTCCCCAGATCTTAAAGCATCAGTTCAGCATTGGCTCTTTTTAATAGCAAAACAAACCCTGGTCATATTATTCACATTTAAAAAGAACACCCCATTTTTTCAATCTAAATGAAGCAACTCAAACCTGCCACACAAACCTGCAGTCTCCAGGGAGCTCGCTTCAGAACTTCTACTTGGTGGCCATGGCATGAAGCCTCACAAATACCCACATAAGGGCAAAAAAAACACAGACCTAGGAACAAGCTGATTGAAGGGTACATATAAAACTGATTTCTTCACACCTGAGGAATACCAACTTTTTACAGCATAATAAATTTGAGATGTCCACAAGTACAACACAGCATCACTGTTACAGGACTACTACATCATGTGGCATATACACAGCAGATAGAGAGTCCTATCCAAACAAATTCTGCTACTTTATTCAAAGAGTTCCCTTTGTCATACTAAGTGCCCAGCTTTCAAGACATGTCAATTCTAGCAAGGAAGAGCTCCATTTTTTTGCCTCACCTTCAATTATTTTCACCCCAAGCAGTTAAAGCATACACAACTAATCTGGAAACTGGTATCAAAGTAATCCTGTACAAATTGATTTTATTGTTAATAAGAAGGCAAAATCAGAAAGCATTTAACAAGTGATTCTCCTTACCTTCAGCACAGCAATGAATGGCACAAAATTAGCTCTCTGAAGACCATTTTTATAGAGATCTGAAAGAAAGAAAATCAGTACCAGTTTTGCTACTTAGTCTTAATACCAACATCACCTTGTATTTTAGTCTGGCAAATAAAATTCTGTGTTGCTAGAGAGATAAGGAACACAAGTGGAAAAAGGAGAGCTGAAATTGATTTCTGTTCTTTTGCTGTATGAAAAGTCATTACATTCTTAAGGAAGAAAGAAAGAAACATCCTGAGAAAGTCTGGAAAAGGCAGAGAGTGAAAGATGATAAATCTCTAATGATATTTAGCAAAAGAAATAAGGCCTATGCCTGTTTAAGAAAGATATAAAAAGGATTTGTAATGCTGAGTGAAAACTGGTATAATTATAAGGCCAAAACTAGGTACCTAGGTACTAGGTACAGAATTCTACCAGGTATACCCTTTTTCCAAAGCAAGGAGATCCATCTAAGGGAGGGAAAAAAAAAAACACACCTTTATGCAAAGTTGTTCAAAATACAACTGAGTACCAAAAAAAAAAAATAGTATGTTAGGCATGTAGATCTGCACTCAGAGAAAATACAAATTAATGAAAACCAACTGCAAAGCGATGTTGTGTCTTATTTATCTCTGCAATTTATATAAAGTTCTCTTCTCCAGAAACTATCCAACTACCTAACATATTCATAAACTTCTTCATTGAAAATATTAGCACTTAGATTGTATGATGTGCTGCTTTATTCCATTACAATTTGGAAGCCCTATAAAAAGGCAGTGTAGCAGCTACTGCTGACAGTAGGAATAACCAAGATAATACAGGCATCTGGATACTACCACACCTGATGGAGGCAGGAACACCTTCCACCAAAATCCCAATCCAAGGCCATGCCAGGTTATTAACACCTGTACTCACCATAATGCCTGAAGGCTACAAGGCTAAAGCTTTCATGCTCTACTAGCAGATACTGCTGGAAGAAGATTGCATGAGAAACCAACAGGGTATCTACACAGAAGCATTTAGGAAAATTATTAACGAAGGTGATTCTGTACCCTAACTATGAGCCAAGATGTATGAAGCCACATATTCTCCATATTTCTACAAACCAAAACAGGTAAACATTTGTTAAAACAGCAACCAATTGCATATTTACTCGGAGAAATTTGTGAATGTGTACCATTACTATAATAAAGTGACTTCTGTTACTTCTTCTAGTTAGTAAGTCTAAGGTTTTATAGTTTTTTTGTTTTGTTTGTTTTTTTTTTTGATGGTTTTAATTATGTCTGTTTTGTTAGGATGAGGAAAAAACAGTAATTTTGGTGGTGAAAAGAAGCCAGGATTCCTCACACACTATACCTCAGTATTTCCCCCTCATGCTGCCCTGAGGGAGAAGGTTAACATGGTTGAGCATATCACAAATGGTCAGCAGCTGAGTGCATTTGCTCTCTAATGGAGAAGAGACTTTCCTCCTTTGTAACCACAAGAGGAGAGTCTCTGAACTCAATCTTAAACCTTGGTAAAATACACTGCATTAATCTAACACTTTTCTGTGGAAGTATTTCAGATACAGACCATAAGCATGCAGGAATAGTGAAAAGGAGGAAGGAAAAGAAAAAAAAATAAAAGGCAGCAACCAATGTCTGGATTGTAATGTTGCTCAGTTCTGGAGACACTTTTCTTGATGTTCTCTGTTGGGTAGCTAGCAAAAGTGGTGTCTTTCAGACAGACATATAACAATAATTGCCATAAACTGACAAATTAAGAAGTGGGATGCAACACCAAGTTGTAAGAATCACTCGTGAACTCTAAAGAGCAGTGGTTCCACAAACACATGGCTGGATCCCAAGTGAATGAGGCACCATTGTTGAGTTCACCCAGCTATCTTAGTTCTGATTTCATCTGGTTTGCTCAAAAAAAGGGAAATAAACCAACAGGAAATTATTTCACCTTTTAGAAACAACATTTGAGAGCTTTCTTGTCTTTTTTTTAAGATAAAAAATGCATTGCAACGCTTTAGTGATTCTTTTACCTAATTAGAGAAATTCACTGGTAGTTAATACTGTAACTCTCTAGTATTTTTTGCAAACATTTGAAATTAAGCTGAAGTGTCACAGTAAGTCACATAAAAATCATGCATTATGCTAACTACTAAGACTACACTACAACAAAAGTTCTTGTGTGCAGAAAATTGTACTTATTGCTCAGTTAAAAGCACCCTCAGCATCCCTGTTCCCAAATTCCCTCCCACTGGTTCGGATAAATTACAGAAAATTAGAAACCACAGAAGGGTAAGGAAAGGGGGCAGAAACATGTAGAGTTAGAGATGAGAAAGGAGTTAGTGAAAAACCTTTCTTCCTAAAGAACATGAAACAGTGGGGGACAAATTGGAGCATCTCAAATTCTTGAAGGCTAGCAAGTTTATTAGTATTAAATACTGTATAATTCTTATAAAATTGTTTTGTAAGATACTGAGATTAATTGTATTTGGAATAATACTAGTAACATGTTTGTTTTTACCTTCTGGTGGCCTGTTAGATGTTGCCACAACGACAACCCCGTTTTGGAACAAGTTTTCAAAAAGCTGCTTCAGAATCATGGCATCAGCAATGTCAGTGACCTGCAGAAGACAACACATTTGTTTTATCTTGCTTTCAGCTTCTGCTGCAATAGATCTGCAAGTGGCTTTATAGCTAGGAAAAACGCTCGTTAGTGAAAGCCATGGAGAAAGATTCTAATTATTGCTTGGTGAGAAAAAATAAAAGGGATAATTAATAAGCAGTGAATGTACCACAGTCTTTCAAAACTTGCCCGCTCTTTATTATGGAACTCCACCATATCTTTACCAATTGCTAAATGATTCCATGTTAACTTCTATTATAAAACTACAGGTGGGAGACACAGAAAACAGATCTAAACATTTAAGAGGCCTAATTAATTGGAAACCACGTGGAAAAAAAACAGAAGACAGAAAGGAAACACACACCGGCTGCTTTACATTTCTATTACCTTTGAGGCAAAGGTTTGCAGAGGTGAATTTAAATGGTCATGGGACTTCAGAAATAAAGACAAGTAGCCAACTATACATAATCAGCTGCTGTTGAAAATAGAATGATATGACATAGATACTATTGTGTGATTGTTGCAAAAAACAATTCAACAGATGGCCCATCACAAAAATAAGCAATTTCATTGTTCTTTTTAAGTGCCTTCTATTACTGTCCATGAATAATCAAAAGGCACGGCAGTCACTTCCAGCACAGTCAGCCTCTTCTAACCTTCAGGCACAAAACACTAACAGAAAATAAAAAGGGGTGGGACAAACGATACTGAAATAAAAAGGCTAAACAATGAGCAATAAAGTAAAATTTCTTTAAATATCTAAGTTTAGCTTAACTAACTTGCTTTACAGTACCAAGAAATAAAAGGAATGCAAACCAGAAACCACTCCATATAAATAAAAAGTAATAAATTTGTCTGAATGGAAGAAAAGCATTGTTACAAGAGCAATTCATATTTTGCAGGTGTTCACCAGCTGAGATCAGTGGTCCTAATAAGTAAATCACCTTTACTATCATTAAACTCTTGTTTCTCTTGCATTCTCCTTGATTATTATACAGACACTTGTTGCATTTTGGCTTACCAGAGACCCCAGTTCTGAGAAAATTAAAAAGTGGTGGCATCCTGAGAGTTATATGCATGACACAACAGATTGATGGCCTGCTATTTTGTGCCAGCTTAGATGTGTATGTTGTAATGGTAATGCAAGCTACAGAAGACTCCAACCACTTCTATATGTATATTTTTTTCTGATCCCCTCTTCCTTCATTTCTAAAAGACCTTTCTAAGTAGCAAAATAAAGTAATTTTACATTAGACACAGTGAAACACAGGTTACATTTCTCACAACTAGACTGGAAGCAATAAAGTTCCTGTTGAACCATAAGTAAACATCAGTTTCATTCTCCCAAAGATGTCTTCTATTTTGTTCTATAAAATACATTGTGTTTTTTTTTCTTTTTTAAAAACCAAACTGTTTTGATGTGATCAGCAACACTCCCAGATTTGTGTATCTCTCATCACTAAGCTCTAAAGAGCACAATGATTCACTATTGCACTGTATGTCTGATATAGGTGTTTATGCACCCACCTAGTGCTAAATTTATTTCTTCTGGATATTAAAGTTTAGGAACTTTCCTGGTTGTCCTGAAAAATACCGCAGAAAAGAAATTAATATATATATGCATTTTAGAGATACCTGAATTTCTTGGCTATTGGGTTTGCTTTGTGATACAAGTTTTTAAATTCATGAGTTTGTAGTGGCATTTTTTAGTGGCATGTAGATGGTTTTTTTTTTTTAAACCATCTTGTGCTTAAAAAAAAAAAAAAACCACTAAGGCACACTACCTTTAGGAAATAAAGGCTGAAACAATGTTAGCACTTGAATGAAAGAAAACAATTAATAAAATTCTCTTATTAATGAGAATTGCTATTTGATGCTGAATTCTGATGTTTTCATTGCATTAAAAAAAAAAAAAAAAAAAAACTCCTGAAACCTCTATCAAAAAGCAAGAGCCATTTTGAGAACTGGAATGAAAATTTAGGCTCTCTTGACCTACCAGACCTTTGGGAAGAGAAGAATTCTACCAGATAAAGCAACTGGAAGACAGCAACTAAAGCACTGTCATTTCTCATATCTTTCACTACGTCCAGAACTCATTACAGGAAGGAACAAAAGCAAAGGCTACAAATTACCAGTAGGGAGAGCCTGCTAATGGAGAGAATAGATATATTTCATTAGCATTTAAGAGAAAAGATTTTTATGACCTAGTGCAGCTTTTCACTACAGCTCATATCAAGAAAAAAAAACATATAAAAACACATCGGTAATAGTTAATTTACATGTATAAGTGCCTGAGACTCAGTCATCCACTGATTGGTACAGTTCCATGTAATGAATGACAAACATAAGCATGTATTATCAGTAATTAGTATTAGCACAAAAATAAGAGCCTAGTTTTTATTAGAGGCTTTTAATAGCACATAGGTTAGGAAAAACTCCCTAAATTGTAGTTTGGTTAAAGCCTAAGTGGTACTGAAGCTACATAAATACTAGCACTGTATCATTCAGCATCCCAAGAAGTGCAGATTCTGTTTTCATTACCCATACCAACTACCATAGCTTTCAGTCGCATGGCAAAATTAGAGCTTCTAATTACCTGTGTGGAGTTATTTGATCACTAAACAATGACTACTCTCATTATATTGGCCAACCTCTATGTCCCGAAACATGAAAATTATAATTACAAATGGGTTAATTCAATCCTGTTGTTTTAAATGAGCACATTTTTGGAGCGGTTCAAGACTTCTGTGGTTTAAAAAAAATAAAAAGGACAAGTATTTATAGTACACGGTGTGACAAAGATCAGTAACAAAAAGCAATGTTTTAACCTGAGGGTGTGCACCTCAGGTGAATGCTGATACAACAGCAGCTTCAGCATGGACAAGCTCAGAAGCTTCACATCATCTCTAATGTGCTGGCTATCTCACAGTATTTGTAAAAAGCAACATTTTAGGACATTTTGTTGTTGTAGTTGTTAAATATAACAAGATTTTGGAACACACAAACTACCTCACAGCATCCTGAAATATTTGTGTAAGTCATTTTGTCAAACAACTCCCCATTTGTTTGGGGTTTCTCTAAGCAACATGACTCACTTCAGAGTACTTCTGTTTCCTTTAGCCCACTGTCAAAGAGGAATTTGAAACCTCAGCAGTACTTTTTTTGTCTTTTGAAGTTCTACATTTGGTTTCATCTGAAATACGAGCACTAACATTACTTTTTGCTGTCACTGTTACAGAATCACTTGTCTGTGTCTGATCTTTACATAAATACAGCTTATGCTTTTTTTTTTCGACAGGTGTTTGAAAGAAACCTGAAATTTTCCCAGCAAATCTCAATAGGGTTCCTGATGTTTCCTCAAAGCACAAGTGTTTAGTCAAGCAAGTTACAGACCCAGCGTGACTTCCCATCTATCAAAATAGACAGTAGCTTTGCCTGCAAGTCAGAACAGTGTATGATCTGACCTTCTTGCTCCTTCCAGTTTCATTTTAATCTAGCAATTCTTCAAGTATAAATAAAGCTGTTGTAGTGAAATCTGGCTGTTAGATCCACTGGGAAAATCAACTGAGAAAGTCCTGATTTCCAGATTATCGGTGTTAGTTTTGTCACTCTGAACTGCTCTTCCAGCTACTTCGAGTTTTTAAGCAGGTTTCTTATTCCAAATTCAGTGCCTTCCACAAACTCTCAGAAAACTGGGGCTCCTCCTCTTGAGCAGGCCAAGCCTTCCTAGCATTTCATGCTACGGAAGATCAGCCAAAAAAAAAAAAAAAAAAAAAACAGCTACTCAGAAATCTGTGAATGTAGTCCATTGATATATCAAGAACAAGTACATGCATTAAAAATCACATAAGAATGCAGTCTTGGAAATACATTTTGATACGTATTTCTTATGCTTATTTTCCCAGCTGTGACCCACCAACAAAAGTATTTTTATACAAGGTGATTTTTACAACTGAAGTGGTTGCTGTACCTCAAGCAAGTCAGCAGGGGGAGCAGGCAATCAATTTGGACACCAAAATTACCAGAGTCTATCTTTAAAACGCGTTAGGGATGACAGACAACATGCAAACACAGCAGCAAGCAGTGGACATTAATAGAGAAAACCACACATTTACACTAATAAACTGTACTACTGTTAGCAAAGATGCCTCTATGAACCTTTCAAACATACCTCCACATATGTCGAACTGCACGTATGCCTACACAGCATTCAAAATTGCCTTTTTTTTTTTTTAAGAGGAACCCATGAGCACTGCAGTTAGAATATTGAGCAGGTATATTGAGTTAGAATATATTAAACTTGGTTGTAACAAGTTTTACTCCAAACAAGCAAAGCCAAAAGCAAAGAACAAAACCAAACCACAATCTGCAGCTTTTGGTTGAGATGCAGGCAATAAATTTTGGCATAATAATTTAAATTGGTTCAGAGAAAGTCAACTTATTTTAGAGAAACTATTCCAACAAAATACCTTTGATGCTCATAATTGAGAAGTGGATCAGGAAAATGTTCTTTTAACACACTGAAACACCACAAAATATAACTCAAATACAACTTTTTCTTAAACGTTTCCAAACAAGATTGCAACGACCCCACATATTCCAAAACCACAGGTCAAAGGATTATCCCTTGCTGCAAAATGCAGAAGTAACTTAAACCAAAAACACCTTCTACTTAACGAGCTGAAAAAAAAAATCCCATTCGTGGGAGCTGATCATAAACTGGTTACCTTCTTTTGTGCATAGGCTATAAATAGTAGCTAGGAGATCAAAATTGCTCTGTTTCAGTTATATGCTAATTTAAGAGCATAATGCAGGAAATTTACAGTCAATAGATGATTCTTTTACTAGCGGTGATTTGAGAAACAACACAGCTCTGTTCTCCTCTTCCCCTGCAGTTTCTCTTGGAATTCAGAATCTCAGCTGATTGAGCTGCTTAGTATACCTCCTGCTCTCAGAACAAAATAATAAAATAAAGCAATTATATGCTTAAATTTTTGATGTTCCTTAAAACAAAATTCACAAGCCACATAAAACAAATGGATCAAGCAAGCTAGCTTGGGCAAACATCGTTTTATCACTTTATTTTTAATTTTCACATTTAACTGAAAAGAAGTTTCTTAAAATGTACATTACACTGATAAAATTTGACACTGACACTCCAAAGCCTCCAGTAACTCTAGGAAAGAATTTAAATTGAAATTGATATGTTATTTCCATGTCCTTAATCGCAGTGAGACCATTTTGTTCCTCTATATAAGCCACAGTAAAGACCAGGCACACCAACCACGTATCAGGTGACTACTGTCCTGGCACTGTACGGACTCATTTTAAGATGACAATTCCTGTCCTGAAGCACTTATGAACCTAAACTTTAATTATTACCCACTAATGTGAGTAGTAACTACACGATAATTTTTTTTGTTTTTCCAGGAGATAATATTAAAAAAAATTAACACCATCTTCTGAATCGTAAAATCACTTCTGCTCTTGACCTTTCATAGTTCACTTCTGGCCAGTAATTCAAATACTATTCAAGTAGTAATAAATATCCTATTTTTAAGATTAACAGTAATGTCATGAAGTTTCCCTTAAAAGCCAAAGAGTAACCTCTGATTTCTTACCTGAAATTCATCAAAACATAAGAGGGAAGCCTCTTCGCTTATTTCCTCTGCTACTGGTGCAATAGGGTCATATGATTTGGCCATAAGTCCTGGCTTTCTTTTTGGCAAGCTCTGCTTAAGGCGATGTATTCCTGAGTTGATGAGACGTAAGTGAATAAATATTTCTCATGCTTTTGTAAAATACAGAAAGCAAAATTATTTAACTATAAAATAAAAAGCAGCCCAATGCAGTTAAAAAACTTCAGATTTGACCTAACTTCAGGAGTGTGAAACCACTGTTTTCAACCACATCCAGGCAACTACTAAAACCACAGATATTGTGATTTCTATATTCTTGCTACGAAACATGAAAAATAAAAATCATAGAACCCTTGGATACTAATATGAAATTGCTATTGCTTATTTTTAAAACTGATATAAATTAGTTTTATCTTGCTCCAGTTCATGACCTTAGCTTCAGTTTCACTTCATAATTTGGCATTTTCTGTCCTAATCATCTTGTGAGTATGAAAAAAGAATCCTTTCAGTGTTTACAAAACAGTGGCAGAGCTCTGTGCATCCCATGCTCTGGAGGTATACTTAGTTAAAAGAACTCAGACAAAGTTAATGCAATTATATTTTACAATGTAAACAAGATGATGCTGATACAAAGTTATTACATACATACTTTAATGCCACAGATTGCATTCCACCAGCCTACAAAAAATGTTTGGCAAACCAAGGTCAAAGTAAGAAGCCAGCTTTGTTAAAATTTAATGAAGTAGAGCACTAGTGACAAGAAACAGAAAATCTCAACAGTGACCCAATGGTGATAAAAAAACAAGGGCAGTAAGAGGGGCAGAAGTTGTTTATGCCAATGAATGCCTTCCAAGAAAAATGCAGCTGTCACAATACTTGTAAATTGTAGCATTATTCACTAACAATTTCACAGTATTCATCTTCACTGATTTAGTTGTCTCTGAATCATGATCCATCACAGAAAAGAACTATGATGTAGCATTTACACTTATCTGTCCTTTTGAGTGACAGCATCACATTACTTTGTTTTATCATTCATTTTCAGCAGCTGCCTTCCTCAGACTGCATGTAAGCTAACCAGTAACTGAAGAATATCTAGATAAGGATTTAATTCTAAACATACATGCAATTCTCTATACAATCTGGTACACAAAACATTTGAGAAGATACTTGAGAAATAGTATGCAATTAACATCTACTCCAGCATGGCAAACACTGCAAAAATTCTCTAATTTATTTCTTTTTTTCTTAGAAATTAAGTAAGATTACATTGTATGCTACACATCCGAAGATGAGACAGGGTTTTTTTTTTTTATAGTTACCATAATTCATAAAATTGTTGTAAATACCAGTATCTGCACTTACTCTGGTGCACATCTAGCATGAAGCCATGAAAATGGACTCTCTTTTTCCTTTCTACTTCTAAATGAGAATAGAACATGTCCATCACCATTGTCTTCCCTGTACCTTCAAATAAAAAAAACAACACACCCAACAGGTAGTTAATTTAAGAACAGTATGTACTGATTACAATAATGATTGTTCGTTAGCTTTGAACTAATGAAACTATACTCTTCCACAAAGTAAGTACAAAGCCAGACTGTTGGGGAAGAAAGGTTATGTTTCATGTTCAAAAACCCCAAACAACTGCATTGTTATTGTTCCATTCTGATCTAAACAGCGTTGACTGAAAGGTTGCACAAATGGCTCCATAGGCATCCAGAAAACAACATTTTCACTTGAAAAGCTTTCTTACTCTACACTGTTGTAATTAGACCATACACGTTCTCTCCCTGACCCACTCCCCACCAAGCTGCTTTTCAAATTCTTAAATTGCATTCTTAAATATTAGTGAGTAGGTAACACCGCAAAAAATGCATACAAGGTTTGGTGTAGGCTAATTAAACAGCTTCCAATCTTCTAAGGTGTAATTGGGTTAATTAACATCATATTCTGGAAGAAAAATAATACTGGAAAAATCATTAAAGCAATAATGCTACATAATTGTCAACTTTTTAGATACTTCAGAATTTGAATGAACACACATTTAGATGAAATTCCATTGGAACTGATGTAGCTGAAACTTACCGACATCTCCATAGACATAAAGACCTTTTGGAGGTTTGTTTTGTGCAAAGAGCTGCAAATCAAGAAAAGCAGAATAAATACAAACATGGTGCACAATAAAAGCAAGAATATATACCTGTGATAAAGTAATCAAGCAGCTACATTTAACTACCTGAGTAGGAATAGCCAGCAAAGCATAACCTTGAATAAATTATTAGCTCAGAATTGGTAAGCAATCTAATGTTGTATTTCTGTGAATTTAGAAAAAGAAGACAAATACACACGCTGATTTTTTTCTTATATCACTGTGAAAATACCTCCATCCCTAGTCCAAGTGTATATATATATATTAATAACTAGAACACATAGAAAAATGATTCAATGTTTCCCAATACATCATGATCCAAATAAACCCTCTTCCCTCAAACAAGCTCAGAAAAAAGGATGTAAAATAAAGCACTACCACAGGACTTGCATATGTATGTTGTACATACCAGCTTTGCTTAAGATATAAACATTTAGGATTTAGAAAAATCAACATGACAAAGAGAGTGAATATTCTAGGTCCCCTTTCTCTCTACTTTGAATCTGAAATGCAGAATTATCTGTTTTAAACATGATTTAAAACAATGGATGCATGGTTCCCATATTTTCATTTTAAATGGGTGTTTATACACACACACACAAATGAAAGGTTAAACATTTTCTCAATTGAGTTTTATTTAAATTAGCACTGGTTAAGAAGTTTTAACCTCTTAACATTACTCAGGACATATGTTATGACACCTGATTACTTATTCTGTTTTACTCAAATATATGTTTTTATGGAAATATTTGCAATAACCTCACTATTAAAATTTGAAACAGTCTTCCTCTCCCACCCTAGGAGGACACTAATATGCATAGACACTTCCAAGTAAAACTCTAAAAAATTGTAGAGTCTTTAAAAAAAAATCATCAAATTCATGACACTGAACTGACATCCACAAAATCATCACACAGGAGTATAAGGTTATTTTAAAGTGTTCCACTTCCAGAGTTATATGAGCTGAGCCAAAACAAAGGAAAATTAAAATTACAACCCTGTAGTCTCATTTGGAGCTGGATAATTGCTAAACAACTTGAATCTAAAGCGCTTTTCAAAATACAGCACCATGTTAAAGAAACGAGGGAGTCAGTAGCAAAACACTAATTAAACATGGAAGAAAATACACGACCAAAGATAGACAGATAATGCCTCTGGTCTACAGAACCAGTTTATTCAGAAAACATGCAAGAATAACTCTTATATAAGACCCACTTACAGATCTAATTTAGAGCTACATTAATAGATAATCAAAAATGTGTATCATCAATCTGTGGCTGAACAGGGTTTCAGATGTTCTGAAACAGTTCCATTAATAGCCATGGCTGTAGCTACCTGCTAGAGCGTTGAAAGCATAGCAAGACCATTTAATTGACGTACATATTTCTGTGTACACTTTTTAAGAGCTTGCACTCATTGAAATTAATTCTCAAAGTTAGATTTTTTTCCCCAGTTGTCCTTTCTTCGCCGTGTATCAGACATAAAAACTTCTTTATTTTTATTTTGAGATTAATAGCATGCATTTTAACAAGGTAAAACAAAATTTATTACATAAAAAGAAAGTTTTAATGAGGTATGCAGCTTTTCCTATGACTCAGAAAAGAAATGAGGGCTTACAGTACTGCTTTACCTGTTTCTGTGAAGATAATATGACTAGAACAAGTAGTAATGCCTATATTTTATACCCTTTTTAAAACTGAAATATGTTTATTAATTGCATTTAATAATCTTAAAGTTTTCCTTTTCGAGTATGTTTTATTCTCATTCCAATACTTACCGTTTCTAGAAAAGTGTTGCAGTAAAGATTTTGGTTTGGTTGTTGGCTAAAGGAAGGCAATAAAATAGCTTGAATTCCAGAAAGTCTAAATCAACTCCTGATTGATTTAAAGTAGAAAAAAAAAATACTATTTTTTGTGAAGATAACAATTGTTAAGTGGTATCTGATTCCTTAAAAAAAAAAAAAGAGGGATACTGTGGCAGATCTGAATACATTTGCTGAAGCTGATAAACTCTAAAAGCAAATCATCTTTGAGCAACTTAAAGACATTTGTAGGAAATATTTTATTTTCAAGTAAAATTATCTTCCGTATACTTCTGACAGAAGTGACACTATTACCACTTAGGGTGCTCATTTTCTCAATCCTGTCAGGTACTGTAGAACACTAAAACTTTAGAGCAATTTTAGATAGAGGTATTTTCCAATCAACTGTAGTTTCTTATTGAAAAATACAATACGTACGTATAAAAATTCAATCAGTAGATTTCTAGTTCTGAAATGCAGACATCCTAAAGATTTCAAGCTATTCTACATGACCCTAGAATTGACCTTTTTTTTAATTAATGATTCTCATCTCCTGAAGCCTGGAAAATAGCACGAGGAAAAGATCAACTTTCACTAGGATTTCTGATAAAATCCAGTCAATGCTGTTGGCTCACTTGAGACCAGAGAGCAGTCAAGAAAGCCAGCAGTATGTAAGAGCAAAGAAGGCAGTAGCCTGATCTTGGTTCCATTGAAGCACACACTCCAAAAGAAAGAAAAACAGGAGGTAAATCTAATGCAGAAGATGCTCCAGTTCCCCTAAAATAAAGATTGATGTGTCTGTTTCATGGATGGATGGGAGAAGAGTGGGAGACAGAAGACAAAGTCAATGAGCTTCTCTCTCCATATTGTCCTGAGGTATATTTGATCTGTCAGTATTCAATTGCCTGACATCACTGTTTTTGCCAGAGTGCTAAGATTTAAGAATGTTAAAGCTTAAAGTGCACAAAACCAAAGACTTGAAGGGATACACAGAATTTGGGTTTGAAGGAGAGAATTTATAAATCTTTAAATGTATGTTTTGAATGCTCTACCACATCCTTTCAAATAAAGGCATCACCACTAATGTGTCAATACCCTCCAGTCCTCCAAGATTCTTCACTCCCATAATATTCCTTGCAGTGAGTTATAATTTTTTTAGGTTAAGTGTTTCACCAAGATTCATTATCATTAGAACATGCTTAGAGCAGGAACCTTCATTCCTTTTATAGAACAGTTAACTTTAACTTTTAAAAAAAAAAAATCATTCGTATGCTAGAATATTTACTATTCCACTAGAAAATATACACATATGTGTCCCCAGACTTAGGGAATTTTCCTCTCTACTTCCAAAACATTTTCTACTTTTCTGTTTTTGTAACTGAATGCCTTGCTTTGACTCCATTGCATTAGATTTATCTTGCTTAAACCTCAATCAATTAGCATCCTCTCCCCTCTACAGAATTATATTCGTTAAAACATCTTAAAACTGACAACTTCCTATTCTTTCTTCGGCATATTTGATAACGGGCAATATCTTCCCACTTTCACCAGTGCTGCCTGCCTCAGACACCAAGAGAAAACAACTCAGTTCCTGGGACTATTTCACACTGATCTGAGAAACTTTTAATTGAAAATCCACATCAGTGTTAAGGTGGTTAATTAAAATATGCAAAATTCAAGAGACAAGTATCCAGACGGCACTTAGAAAACTAATAAACAAAAAAACAATCAACCAACCAAACCAAAACAGAAACAAAACCCAAAAAAATCCATACACAAAAAACACGAAGAAAACTGCCTCTTTCTCCCACTCTTTCACAAACCTTCTTTTTGGTTGCTGTTGCAGCTGAAGACATTTTCAAGGTCTTGGATGGCGTTTGCTATTGTTCATACCTCTTTTCAAAACATGACCTCACTTATAATTGAGCTTATTTCAAGTCATTAGTACAGCAACTCAACAACTCTTAAGATGTCCCAATTGGTATTATTTTGAAAAGCTAGAGATCTGAAACATCTATGGAAACTCTTATGGCCTTGAACTTCAATTCAGAGGATCTCAAAATATCTCAACATACAAGGCCGTGCTTTCACCAAGTTGAAGATCAAAGTCATTGTTCAAATTTGAGTAATAATTTTGAAAAACAGAAGCATACTTGATTTGCAGCAACACACTAATTGTTTTTCCCCTTTAAATTCATTCTAAACCAATGCCCAAAAGACACTGTATCAAAATAAAACAAATACAGTTTCACTATGGTAAAGGAAGCAGCTGTTTTTTCCCCCAAAATTGCTTATTGTAGAAACACTTTGCCTGTGAATTGATATAACTCTCTCAGATAAATATTGAAATGCTTCTATTATATCTAATATCAGTTCCCTAATCCTACTTTCACTTTTTACAGTGAACAAAACTATTTAGATAAAAGGTGACAATAAATAAAAGCAAAGCAGACCATTCTTTTACTGACTCCTAAGCACAATAAATTTCTACTGGAATAACTCAGTTTAGAAAAGTATTTTACATTTGAGGTAACAAGCTAGCAAGTATCAGACCCAAGAAGAGGCTGACAACTATTTTCCTTCCTTTCCCCTCTCTCCTCCTTTTTTTTTCTTTTCACTGCGACCTCTCAAACACACTCTTTTCCATGCCAGAACTAGGAAAAATGAGCATGCTTGAAATGCCACGCATCTTTTTTCTTTCTTATACTTCTTAGAAGAGGCAGTAGATTCTTCTCAACTCTGAAGATTTCACACTAAAAGTAGGTTAGTCAAACTTGTAGAAATCTCCTGAAAAAGCAAGACCTCAAGCTGCTATGTGTAACTGATTAAACAGTTGGACTCAGTTGCAAAAAGGTCTCAGCTTAAGATGTATCAGTATTTCATTTACATCTATTAAATCACATTAAATAAGGGGAGATCTTATTGCTCTCTACAACTACCTGAAAGCAAGGTGTGGGGAGCTGAGGGTCAGCCTCTTCTCACAGGTAACTAGCAATAGGACTAGAGGGAATGGCCTCAAGTTGCACCAGGGGAGGTTCAGGTTGGAAATGAGGAGACATTTCTGCTCAGAAAGAGTAGTCAGGTGTTGGGACGGGTTGCCCAGGGAGGTGGTGGAGTCACCGTCCCCGGGGGTGTTCAAGGAGAGGCTGGATGTGGTGCTTGGGGACATGGTTTGGTGGGTGACGTTGGTGGTAGGGGATGGTTGGACCAGATGGTCTTGGAGGGCTTTTCCAACCTTAATGATTCTGTGATTCTCACTGAAGGCAGCATTATGTGGCAGGTATCACAATCTCTAAAAGCTGGCTGAAATTAACGAATGGAACATGAAGCAATGAGAGGATTGCTTTGGAGGAATTAGTGGAAATCCACATCCTCACCCTAAAGTAATGGCATTTGACTTTGCTCGGGTCACTTAGATGGCTTCATTGTGATTAGCTCTGCTGCTATACAAGGACAAGGCACCATCACAATCTCCTAAATACAGGAAGATTTGTATCACTTTACTCTCAGCAGTAAAGAAAGCTTCACTTTACATGCTTCCCAGTCAAATACATAGTAAACAAACCCACATAATGGTTGATCTACAAACCATTACGAGACACCTGCTCTAACAACTATGATGATTCACAGCACTCCAGTTAACACGAGTCAGCTCTTCAAGTTATTCTCAAAGGCAGAGCTTTTAGAGAAGAATACCCAAACTTCCAAAACAGCTTACCAGAAAAGATCAAAATGCTAGCCTACTGATCATTCCTCTGTCACTCCTCTACAGAATGAAAATGGATAAAAGTTTGGCAGGATGCCCAAAAGATAATGCAGGAGCAAACCAAGTAACTGGTATCCTTTTGAGAAACATTCTCTTTTAGTTGGGTACGGGGTCTGCAGATACTTTGAAGACATCTGATTTAAGAGCTTATGAGTCCAAAGCCAAAGCTTAAGATAAAGTCTAGAGAAAAGAAAGAAAAAGAACAACTTCTCACATTAAACATCCTTCAGACACAAATCTCTGGCCTGTTAGATCACACCTGTTGAAATAATTTGCCTGCTTCACACAAGCAAAAGAGGTTTAGGAATCCAGCTTGAACTCCTTACAACCAAAGGAAAACAGTTTTCTTCCAGGCACACCACAATATTGCTTTGGATAACAAAGATAAGCAATATTGTGGTGTGCCTGGAAGAAAACTGTTTTCCTTTGGAACAGCACATTTCTCTTCAATACCTGCCCACAGTCTTGTTTAGACTCAGAGCCTATAAGGACATAAGACAACGTATCACAGAACCACAGAATCACAGAATTTCTAGGTTGGAAGAGACCTCAAGATCATTGAGTCCAACCTCTGACCTAACACTAACAGTCCCCACTAAACCATATCCCTAAGCTAGGGATAGAGAGGTTGCAGACAGCAACGAGATAACCTCTGAGCCTCCTCTTCTCCAGACTAGACAAACATGGCTTTGTTGGCCTCCTCTGGATGCTTTCAAGGATTTTATCATCCTTTTTATACTGTGGAGCCCAGAACTGCACGCAGTCTTCAAGGTGAGGCTGCACCAATGCTAAACGTAGTAGGAGAATAAGCTCTTTTGGCCGGTTGGCTAAGTAAAAAGTCAAGTAATGTGATGAGCTAATGCACCAGCTGGAAAAGACAGAAATATCCTCCAAATCCCTTATCTAAATCAAAATTATAGAATCATTTATGTTGGAAGGTACCTCGGGAGACTACACGATCGAACTCCCTGCTCAAAGCTGGGTTAACTTCTGAAAGAACAGAACTTCCAAAGACGTACTTCTTGCCCTCTAGAAACCAACTTGCCTTAGCAATTTGCTTCCTTCAATTAACCACTCTCGTGCTTTTTCCTTCCACAGTGTCTGACTTCTGTTCCTTGGAATTACTTCTCATTCAGGTGTCTTCTCTCTGTATATCACAGTTGAACTAGCTGATATTGGAGGTCCTTTCCAATCTTTATGATTCTATGATCAACAAAAAAAAGCTCCTTCCTAGGTGTTTAGTCTGCTTCCCTCTGTCAGGAGGCAGGAAGACATTTCTAGTCAAGCATATGATTAGCAAATACATGATATCCATCTGCAAGTATGAGCCTGAAGTTTTCTATGGATATGGAGGCAGACTGATAAATGAGCATTGTGTTCTAATGTTCTGTATCCTGTTACACTTGCCTATTTGAAAGAGGTATTTCCACTGGTGTGATACTTGTTCTCATAGTAATATTCTCTTCTCTTGCTTTTTTTTTTTTAACTCCTCGAAGCTAGTATAAATTTCAAGAACCTTAGATTGGTAAATTGCAGTTTGGTATCTAAAAGGTAGAGGCCAGCCCTGCAGGTTTTGACTCCTCTGATTTCATTCTACGTCATTTAAGCTTGCCATGCGAACAAAATACAGTATTTGTGCCAGGTAATTGGTGAAATTTGGGGTTGTAATGGCAAATATATAGTTAAGTAATGAGTCCAATAGTTTCACAAACAGTTTTATGCCCATGAGATGAGATGTGTTGCATAATGGATACTGCAAGATGCTGCTGTGGAGATCTATTAACACAGCCTGCAGCTGATGACATACATTGACCGTAACAGTGAAAGTTATTTCTAATGAAAAAATAAAAGCAGAAGTCATGCAAGAGAGAAAGAACAGAGAGAACTCCCAGTGAGTGTCTGGGAAGAGTACAAAGCTGTCGACACAGGACGTGTCTCCCCAGTGCAAGAGGCCAGGAAAGTCAACAAGACAATGATGGCAATTTGGATTTTTCTATGTTATTTCCCAGCATAATATCATTTTCATCAGACTCACTCAAATGCCCAATTGTGTCCCCCACCTTTATTTATGAATCTGTGCTGACAGGAGTATGTTAATCAGGTGCAAATGTTGCACCTTCACTGGTCATTCAGCTTCTGTAAACATCTGTTACTGGCTAATAATTATTGAGTATTTAAAGACTTGTCTGCTTTGCTGTGCTCTGTTTGATTTTCTACATAAACTAAAGCCTACAAAACAAGAGACAAGCAAAGCAGGGGAAGAGAAGACCTTCTCACACCAGTTTTAGTTGCTTCCCATGAGAAGCTGCTGCAACAACGCTATCAGAACGTGCAGGTGCAAGGCCACAATAGCAGCAGTACAAGAACAACAGCACGAGAACAAGACGTGCAAAGTACTGCCACAGCACCTCTGGAAAACATTGCATCAAATACTCCAGGAAAAAGTTAGAGAAGTGCAACAGCAGGCCTGCAGCAGCAATAATGCTAAGGCAACCAAGGTTTTTAATGCAATGTAGGACAGGTATATGCCTGATTTTTTGTTAATGTTTCTTTTAACATTAAAAAATGCTGATTTTGTTAATGCTGCTTTTAAAAGAAGCCCACAAAATAAAATACACTTGTGGTGCAGATCACACCTATTGCCTTCTTTTCTCAGCCCCCCAGCTGGGGACTACCAACATCCGCCACATTTTTTAATTTTTTTTTTTTTTTGAAAAAAAGAAAGATTTATATTATAATGTTTTGCAGAGTTAAATTATTTAACTTGGATTATTTAAAACCTGCTGGCTGACTTCACTTATACGCATGGAACATTTGCCAAGACACAACACATCAATGTTCAGTGTCTGTAACCCAAACAAACATGCTATACCAGTGCTTGAGAGCAAAATATCTAGCCTAAGCCACCCCCCTCCTACAGAGAAATAACATTTTGGGAAACACAGACATAACCATAATCATACAAGATTTTCTTTCAGAATTATTTCAATAACATTTGTTTGCTGGTAGCATGCCACTGGAATTTTACAAATCAGAAAAATAAAGAACAGAGAACCAAACATGAACAACAATCTACCTGTAAGGATGCAGCTGCAAAAATAAGATTCAGGTTAATGACAGAAATTTGTGTTTTTAAGCACATTCTTATGATCAAATAAAATTTCAAAAAAAAAAAAATATTTATCATCATTATAAATCCCACCTTTGAGAGAAGATTTTTTGAACTGATGGTGTAGCCTTTAAGGCTCTCGTGCAACTTCTGCAGGTGCTGCACAACTCTTCTTTGCTGCTCATCATTCCTCAGCTCTTCTTCTTTAATCAGGAAGTCGTAATGTTCCAAAGGTCCACTGCAAACCAACAAGGCTCTAGCGTTAGCGTCTGTAAGAGTACCAGAGACTGTCTTCTCTTCTGCCACCTGACTCGTGTACGCTGTAAAACAAAAAGTAGACTTTTAATAGAGAAGTTATAAGAAGCACTCTCTTATATTCATAAAAACCACACATTGTTAACAGTTCTTGCAAAGATATATATTACTTACCCACAACCACTAGAGTATGTTACCCCTTTATTTTTTATTAAATCAACTTCTTACTACAAAACAACATTAGTACGTCTTAACAGTTTTACTAATTAAAAAAACACACACAAAAATTCCATCTGGAAAGTTGGTAACATTTGGATGAGCTGTTGTGAGGGAAGCATTGACATCTCTGTTGCAAACTGGGGGCAAAACCACTTAAAAAATTCTCTCAGAGTGCATTTTTCTGAATAGATTAATCCTTTAGAGAGGTGGGCTGAAAGAGACAGTTTAAAACCTACCAAACAAGACCGAACTATGAGTTTTATAAGCACATTTGAGGAGTCAAAGACCACAGTAAACAACCCAGTAGCTGTGAAGCCCTACAGTGCCACAGCCCACTTTGCTGGCATTATCTTCTACTTAGGCTAGACAGGACCATGCCCAAGCAGAAATTGTTTAAATTTAAAAATAAGTCACAATCACCAGGCATGAAATGAGATATAACTAGGAATAAGAGAGCAAGCTTACAGAGAGTGCTTGCTAAATCAGTAAGATCAGACACCTAACAATAGAACACGTTGAAAAGGCCTTCATGAAAAGGTGTTGCTTATGCTGTAATTTCAAAGCTTGAGTATAATCACGAGTAACATAATTTGTACCAATGACAAAAGAAACAGATTTGGAAAAACACAGAGCAGACAGAACAATGTCAAATAATTTGAACATTGCTAGATCCATTGAAAGTCACCCTTAAATGCTTCAGGTAAGCTCCCTACGCAACATAACAGCCTCTAGCAGTTTTCTTACAGCCCTTTTGTTGATGAGTGAGGTTTAAAAACACACCAAAAAATTAAACTACTGTGATCTTCAAAAAAAGACAAATCCAGAAAAGTCATAGGTCAGTCAATGCAGATTTAAACCACAGGAAAATACCAGAATGAGTACAGACAGGATTGTGATTTTTTTTTTTAAAGCACTTAACAACATGATAAATGACAGGCAACACAAACTTCTCAGGAGCAAGGAGTTTTCCTCTCTGACCACATAACACACTCAGAAAAAGGAAACCATCTTAATTGCACTAACACTTGTCTTTGGGTCTCACAGTGTTCTCCTAAATAAAGTAAGAATGCTAGAATCAAGTGAAATACCTTTTGAGCAGGTACAAAACAAGCTAGGAAAACTATCCATAATGAATGGGTACTACAATTAAACAAGATACGTGTTTCCAACCGAGTTTCAGAGAGAGCTCAGAATCCCAATTGTACAAAAAGCCAAGTAGAATATAGTGAAAGCAGGTATTGTACTTAGGGGACATAAATAACTGAAATTAAGAGACAGACAACGACCAACTGAAGAGCAGCTCTGCAGAAAAAGATCCAGGGCTACGCTGGATCACAGACTGACATCAAAACCTCACCGTGACACTACTCCGTATGGGAGAAAGTACTCCGAGGTGTGTGTATGTGTGCATGTTTGTGTATATACAGATACAAGGGGCAAAACATAAGCACAAATTAAATAACCCTGCTCTATTCAATACTGGTATGATCTGCCCTGAAACACCCTTACGTTTTCTCACCGTATTTCACAAAAGGTACAAACTCGAGGGAGAGATTAGGGGTCTATTTAAAGAAGTATTTGTTACACCCCACAGAGGAGGTGTAAAAGGGCTCAAAGCGGCAGAAGACGACTTTAAACTTGTCCCAAACATTTTTTTTAATTGATCAATTTCATCCTTTTATATTATAACTTTATTAATTTATTTATTGTAAGACCTTCATTTCTCCAAAGCAAAAGTCACTGGTTACATCTGTGGTCAGTAATTTCAGTAAGTTCTTCCGTCCTGAAGGAGCTGAGTTACTGCTATGAATTAAAAGTAATTAGATCATCCATAGCCGAAGAGACCTAAGAGAGTGGAGTTCAGAGTTTGTCATTGCAAAAATTTCAATAAAACCTTTACAGAAGACTAAAGAAAAGCACATAGCTATCTTCAGGTACATAAGCAGTAATGATTAAAAAAAAAAAAAAAGAAAGAAATGGTAAACTTAATTAAGGCGGTGAATGAACCAACTGATGAAGAGAGAATTTTAAGATTAAGTCTGACAAAAATCTATCAGGAACAGGTCAGTGACACCTGACCTGCATCCAAACAGAAGCAGAGATGGGGAAAAACAGATTCTCTTATTTTTTCAACCATTTACTGCTACATAAAGTCAACTGAGATCTGTACATCTAAACCACATGTTGCCTTCACAACACAAAGAGCTTGATGCCCCTAAGACGCAGCCAGTACCCCACTGCACCTACCTGTAAAGCCTATTCCTTACCACAAGATTAGAAGGGGAAAAAAATAAAAATAAAAGCTGACTTGGGGATAAGAGAGCATTTGTGGCTCATGACTTTCCTGGCTATGGACAGAGCACACCAGCAGGACTTCTCAGAAGCGTGGGTTTTGTCTCAGGTTACACGTACTTGCAGCTTGCCGTCCCGGGAATGGGAATAAAATACTTTGTCATTAACAGATGACAGAGATGAACAGTATGTGCAAGTGATGACAGCGGGTGTCATGGCACAAATTACTCACTCTTCTCCTAAAATAATATTGAATGCTAGCATTTAGATGTGGTGGGGGTACCAGCAGACACACAGTAACTGGTAAGTGTTAAATTCAAAGGTGTAGCTGCAAAGCAAAGTCAGATGTCCCTAGAAAGAAAATAAAAGGGGTTTTAGAGGTAGGTCAACAGAAGACAAGCTATTTAAGTGATAAACGACAGAGAGAAACAAAATACAGGTCTTCCATTCTAAACTGTATTTTGTGGGGCACGCTACAAAACCATTCACACCACTAAAGCTCCTCACTAATCAATCCCCGAATGGATAAAGAAAAGGAATTTTTAGAAATTTTAATATATGGCAGAGGAATACCAGACAACTGCCTTCCATCATTGTATACCAAGGAAACTACTGCTTCACTAGGAATCACTTACACATAATTCAGTGCATTAGTCCTAGCAGCCTTCCCTATGTTGCAAAAACTCACTTTCTCTCCTACTACTTCACATATTCATATTACATAAACTGTTACTTCCTTGTATTAGTTCCCTTTTGAAATGTTTCAACACAGAGAAACCACTTTCTATTTCTATGCATTTTACATTGAGCTTTTCTGTAGTTGTACCTCATCACTCAGTTTTACATAAAACAATGTAAAGCTGGAGCTATGTGCTTATACATAATCTTTCCCACCACCAGGATACACGACAGCATTGGATTTTCTCACCTTTTGCCTAAAATTCAATGCTAATTTAAGAATTGCCACTGGCTTACAACTTCGAATTGCTATTCCTAAAACATAAGCATTTGTCCAATATCATTTTACTTCAAGCCACAAAAATGCTTGCATTTGCCTTTGCCTTTCTGCTTGCCTACCCAAGCATCGCAGGTCAAGTTTTAATAGCGACCTTCTGCAAAACACATCTACAAAAAAGGTCCTTCTTGGAGAAATCAGAGGGAAAAAAATCATCAAAGACAACAAAAACTTATTAATGTTTAATGGAAATGCCAATCTGAAACTATAAAAGTTTCCCTTAAAGTGACTTGCTTAAGATACCTTCAATAAAGTAACTTTCATTTATCACTGCAAAGGTAAGTACTCACAGGGGAAAAAAAAAAAAAAAAAAAAAAAAAAAAGAGTGTTCTTAACTCCAAAGACCTTCTGCTCTGGAAAACAGCAACAAATTGAAAAATTAATCAGTATGTTGTCGAGCTTTCCTACTGCCACTTAGAACTTCAGTCTGAGACAGCACAGGAAAAAGGCACACGAGTTTCAATGGCACTGCTCCTGAGAGCAATAGTCACAGCTGAGGCAGGCACTAGAGTTATTTCTGTAAGAAGACAATCTGAAATGGAAGCTGGGTCGTAGCGTATCATAAACTGATCTTGACAGGAGGATGAGAGCACAGAAGGGTGACTGAGAAAAACACCACTCACCCTGGTAAACCTCTTCTTTCCTCTCCTAGTAGCTGGATTTCATTATGTACGGTACTGACCTATGATGTCTCGTCTATCAGAAGAGAATTCCCATAACAAAAACCCCAGCAGGCCCTTGTCTCTCCTGTGTTTGAGGGGGTAGGAAAAGAACCTGGGCTTCCCTAACACACATTTCACCTTTTGTATCTTTCTATGAGGGCAAAAACCAACACCCTGAAAACTGACATTAATAAATTCAGAGTTATGCAAAAAAGATCTTGTGCCTTTAAAATGATTCTTCATTACTCAGAGAGGAAAAAGTGTTGTACTCCACAGATTAATTAAAATTTGGTCTGCAAGATCCCTTACTGCTATTGAACAAAGCATCTTTCAAGCATGTTGTCAGAACCGTGAGCCTTGAATGGTTCATGTAAAAGAAATATAAAGAAAAAAAAGGGAAAACCATGAAAAGATAGATAATATCCAGCTAAAGAAGCAAAGGTTAGACAAATGAAACCCAATTCCTATTGCAAAAGGTAAATCAAGCTTCAGATTATGATATTCCCTTCGCTACAGTGTCAGTCAGGTACAGTACCCGTGTAAATATATGTATTATTAATTTTGTAAACAAATTAAAGTTGAAACAAACCCTTCAAGGGATTGATTAGGAAAAAAGCATGTTTAACCTTTGTTCTGTGTGTATGTATCATGAGAAGGATCAGAAATAATTTTCCTTTATGGAGCTTAAGGCTAGAAGACAACATCGACCTTTTTAAGTATTAGGAACAGTTACATTTGTCTAATTACCCCTACACTCAGAAACTGTGTTTGATTACAGCACATTCTGAAGAAAATACATTGCAAAGACACAAGAGATAGAGAATTAACCACTTCCTATGATATTTTTCTGTAGTGGTTAATCACTATTAGCCTTAAGAGACAGAAAATACTTCCAGTTAATACTTGTTGAAGAACTGCCACTAAACCAATGTCACCCTTGGGGGTGGGGGGTGCTGCAACAGAAGGCAACTTTTAGAAATTCTTCAATATACAGCTGTTCTTCAATAAGAAGAGATCAAATCAGCAAAGGCAGCTTGCCACTAGGACACAAGAAGAAGGACTGAGTCTGCCCTCTCTCTCAGCTCTGCCTCATGTGACCTTAGCTGAACCACTTAACCCTTATTTAGCCTTCTTACAGTGCATTCACTAATATATGAATATATATTCACTATTTCAACTTCTTGAGAAATGTAAATGTTGCAGCAGAACTAGAATTCTGATTTTTCCATAGATATCTGTGTTATTATTATTATGAAAATAAGATTTTTTGTACTGTTACCATGCACAGCCCAATTAACAACCTCAGCTAGCGATGAAGGATGTGGAAGCTTGTGAGGAAAACTGCAGCTTTGCACAAATATTACTTGTGAAGTCTTTTAATTGAAGAAAAGGCACAGAAGCAGGGACACCTCCCCGCAGCCCAGACTGCCCAGAGCCCCATCCAGCCTGGCCTTGAGCACCTCCAGGGCTGGGGCACCCACAGCTCCTCTGGTCAGCCTGTGCCGGTGCCTCACCGCCCTCAGAGCTCCCAATTTCTCCTCTTTTACCTTAAATCCATTCCCCCTCATCCTCTCTCCGCTCCGCTCCCCCGGCGGCTCCCGTTACCGACACATCCCCTCTCCGAGAAGCCCCCCTCGCCCCGTACCCCTCATCCCAGCTCCCTCCTGCCCACCCCCGCTCTCCGAGCCCCTGCTGTCTCCCCCTCTGCCCCGTCGGGGCCGGCGGCACCGACCTCTCCTCAGGGCGGCGGCCCGCGCCCGAGCCCGCAGCAGGCAGCGCGCAGTAACCAAGGGCGACACGGGCGCCGCCATCTTCTCGGCGCCGGGGGTGGAGGGGGGCAGCGGGGAGCGCTGGGAAATGGAGTCCCGGGGCCAGGCGCCTGAGGGGGGAGGCCGCTGGGGGCAACTCTCACAGCTTTACGTCTTTTTATTTTATATTCAGGAGTCATTCACCATAATATTTACCTGTTTGCTGGCTGGCCCTCCTCCATTCCTGTCAGAAACACACCCAAAAGTGTGTTTCGAAGTGTGTGGCTTCAATAGATACTAACTTCTGAGTGCACAAGAAACAGATAAATGTCTTCTTGTGGTAAAAGCACAAATGAAAGACTTTCATTTATTTTTGGCTTTGCAACATCAGAATGCCTATAACTTATTCTACAGTAAAATTTCAGCACAACATGAGAAACTGTACAAGCCATTTTTATAGAACACTATCCAACATTTTTTTTAAGAAGTATAGCAAAATACCACATCAAAGCACTAAAGAACTCACTGCAAACAAAAGTAAATTATGCTGAATTGTATTGCTAATTTTTAAAATAATGTTTATGATCTTGAAAATATTAACAGTGGTTGAAGTTATCTTCTAACATGTTCAGCTGTTTTAAAATACATAGTTGCACCAGAGACATCTTCAATGTTATACACTTAATTAAGTAGTGAACTAAAATGCCAATTTATCACATCTTAAAAGAGCTGTTTTCAGTGCGTTTTCTTTCATCTTTCCTTTATTGGGCATTTATTGGTTTTGACTCATTCTAGCACGTTACAGCTATCAACACCTGTGCCCATTTAGGAATGAATTTCAGTATAAATCATAGTGAAGTGAATAGACATTTCAAAGATGCATTGCAATTGTTGCAATATTTTTAGAATCTCAGACAAGGAAACAAACAACTTCTGTAAAAGTGATTTAAATAACAAATATCTTTATAAACAGCTTATCTCCTTCAGAACAAAGAATAAACAAGGCAACAAGAGCCGTTCTTTTTCTTCCATTATTAACTCAGATCACAATACGATTGGGTGAAATGTCAAGAATAATTGGAGAAAATGACAGCATAATCTTCAGCAAAAACATCTGATTTATTTAAATTGTCACTGTTTTTCTTTTTTTTTTCTTAACAGATTCTCTGTTTAACCTTGTTATCCAAGACAGCATATAAAAACTTCCCATTTGTGTCTGTTCAGACATCTTCTACCTAACTGAATAAACTCTCTGCAATGCTTCTGTACGTGACAAACTTTGAAATGCCATAATACACTCACTGTATTGCACACCCCAGGAACTGAATCTGTATTTGTCAAAATCACATTTTGGTGGTAACCTAAAAGAACACGAATTTGAACAGCACTTCTGTAGATTATCACGGTTGATGTCTTGTAACAGACACAGATCCATTCTGTAGGACATTTGTACACTTCATTCACCATCTCTGTCCCACCACAGGAATGTCTTGGGCTCCCATACATGTAGGTACTTTAGACCTAGGCCTGATCATTCACCCTACTCTGGGAAAATGGATTTTGTGGCTTGTTTTCATCAACACAGTTTCCATCAAAAACCACTCTTCCAGAGTTATGACAAAACACTTCGTGATAAACCTGATTTTAGCTTCATCTATTCTGATGAAAACAAATATGCAATTAATAGTCTGTGTTGCTTATCAGACTAATTAAGCTGCAAAAACGTTCTCAGATTTATGGACTTAGAGCCATTTTTACATGTCTGTTTACAGTTTGGATTTCAGTCAGCTCTAACAGCTGCTCTTGGAACAAGGGGTTCAGAAAATACTTGTGAGCTGTAAGCAGGTGGATGCCATTTAGAAGAAAGAATCTAAAAGTATATATGTGGATCATCCCTGTAGAAAGGGATAATATCATGTAAAAAGGGGGAAGAGGAATTGAATATAATAATCTATGTGTATATTACAAATTATATTTATACACTAAATATTCTTATCTGGCAGGTAAGGACTAATGCAGATATCCAAAGACCATGCTTCAAAGCACTGGCTGCTAGTGCAGGGATCAGGAAGTCATTTTTCCACATAAAGCGTTGCACAATTAGTTCAATTAGTTCACGATTTTATTTTATTTTTGCCTTATCCTGAGTCAGCATTCCTCACAAATCTTGACGAAATATGCCTGTGTTGACTAAAATGTGTTAACTTGGGCACTTGTCACAAGGCTAGAGAATTCCAGCTGGATAACAGAGCAATTTGGTTTCCTTTCCCGTTAAATGTATTTTTTTTTCTTTTAAACAAACAACAAACTAATTAAGAAGTATCACTGTACCAAATTTAAGAATTAATCATACGTTCATACTTGCTTGTATGGATGCATGCCAGGAGACGAGACTGTGGTGTATTGCCACTTGAAGTTATGCCAGCAAATCTTTTGTCATAGCTGACTAAATAATGTGTAGTAACACATCCACGAGTACCTAACCTCCTGGTTGTTCCTCTGAATGCTTGATTTCTTCCAGATAATCTTTGGACTGACAAACACAGCTGACCTCTCTCCCTTCAGATTTGAAATTTAACTCAAAGTTCATGTCAGACAAGGAATTAAACTTTCTTTTTGAATTTACGCTCACCTTTTCCATCCTGAGAGAAGAACCTCTGCAGCAAGCAGAAACAACTAAAGAGAGTGTAAATCTCATAGTTGACAAAAAAAAATAATCTGAACCATGATTCAAAATAAAAAAAAAAAAAACACATTCTCTGAGGGGCAGAAGGAAACAAGGGAGCTCACAGGACTCTAATTTTCCCTGCACCTTCAATCCCTCCTCTTTGCCTAGTTAGCCAGCCAGTGTGGCATACGTGCTTTCATGGCAGGGCTAGCCAGGTCTGAGGATTTCTATCCGGATCCTGTTAAGATCATGGGAAAACAAAAAAAAACAACCAAGCAAACAGAAAAAGAGAGATGGGAGACCTCACCAAATGACTATAACCTCCTTACTTACCAATACTGTTGACACATGGGCACTAAAATGTTCGCTCCCTGTCACTTGCCTCCATCTGGCTCTCCACCACCAGTTGTCTCTGTTAGGAAAGGCAGACAGAACAATGCTGCTAAGACAATATGCTGTGAGAAAAGCAGTCAGCTTAATGCTCACTGCTAATAGTATTTACTTGGCGTGAGAACAAATTATATTCATCTTATGCTCACCAACTTCCCACATGTGCAATATTAGGCACTTTTTAATTCTTTCGAATGGAAAATGAAACTAGGCAGGCAATATACATGTATTATACTTACGATAGTACCAGTACTCTGCTGTATTTTCATGTTCACAGCCAGATGTGGTAGCAGAGGTTCTGCAACAAACAAAAGTGCATGCAGATGTGCGCATAAGTAATCTCAGTAGGATTCACGAGTTCTTCTTGCCTTGCTGCAAAACCAGTTTAATAACAAGTCTAATTCAGGTGAGGCTTCTTTTCGCTGCCGCTATTTAAAACTCTGTCAGCTTAATTTCTGTTTGTAATTATGAAGTGAAGAGTTGGCAGCTATTAGCAGAAAGAAAGGAAGTAAGGAAGATGCTCTAGTAAGGGCGAGAATTACACTGGGGGAGTGATGAGCAAGAAATCTGGAGAAAAGTTACCAAGCAAACCACCTACTGCATTCTGGTTATGTGGATGGGTTATTTTTGTACCTTGGGTTCACGTCGTCTTCTCGATTATCTTTTTATTATCATAGTCAACCCCTAACGAAACTTGCTGGATGGTAAATTTGGGTCTCCTGGGTGTGATTTGTGGGAAACCTGGCACTTGGCCTACTGCCTAGACACAAATTCATAGAAAAAAAATACTATAACTAGTTTTTCTACAGGCTCATTTTACCTGGATTGCAGTTGAGTGTAGTTGAGTAGAGTGTACTAGAACTCTCTCATAAGGAAGGTAGGAAAATTATATATGTATTTATTTATTGGAGGGGTAGGGGCACTGTTAGCAGGTATGTACATAAATACACAAAAATCAATCTGGAAGGGCTCTACGATGATAGAGTCACTTAGAAATATTAGCAGTGGGTTAACACGATTTGTGTTTATTGATGCTTTAGGTGAAACAAGAAGGCGAGCTTTCCGCTTCTTTTGGCAGTGTCTCCTTTACAGTAACACACTATTTGCTTGAGCTTTTCGGCTTCGTTTTTATTGTGCACCCCAACGATAGCAAGGGGGAAAACCAAATGTTGTGTGTTTAATACTGAGGTGTCGCTGCTAATTAATAGCCCAAATTACCTCAGGACGCCACCACCCCCCCCCAAGCTCCCCAGCACTCCAATGGGGCCAGGCCCAGCACTTGAGCTACGCTACACTCCTGGCTAATACACCAACCAACCCTAGACCTCCCCGCCATAAGGAGCAGCGCTAATGCCGTCGGGCGAGGAGCTGCCCCTCACAGTTCCCCGTTATTTTTGTTCTATCTCCCTAAAAACCCCCTCTTTGGCTTAAACCCCACAGCCCGCGGGCGGGCCCGAGAAACTAAGCTCTGCCAGCCGCAGGGGACGCCGGGACTTGTAGTTCGGAAGGCGGGTACAGCCAGAGGTGGGGCGCGGCGCGAGGACTACAACTCCCAGGCTGCCTCGCGCGCGGGCGGCGGGTGCATCCGCCGGCGGCGGCGTGGGTGCGCGTTGCCGGGCAGGGGCGAGAAGAGAGGCGGGCGGGCGGCAAAGAAGGCGGGCGGCCGTAGGGGGGGGGGAAGAAAAGGGGGGCCGGGGGGGCGGCCATGGCCGAGACGATCGCGGACACCCGTCGGCTGATCAGCAAGCCGCAGAACCTGAACGACGCCTACGGGCCGCCCAGCAACTTCCTGGAGATCGACGTGGGCAACCCGCAGACCGTGGGGGTGGGCCGCGGCCGCTTCACCACCTACGAGATCCGCGTCAAGGTGAGGGGGGGGGGGGGGGTCCGTGTGGGAGCCCCCAGCTGGGGCTGGGCTGGGTTAAAAAGCACAAAACTAAGGGTAGAGCCAGCCAAATGGTGTTATGTGAACAAGCTGCTGTTGTTGGGACCCTCGCTGTGCGCTGAGCAGCAAGCAGGGTGTAGCTCTTCACTTGGTATTTGTGTCCTGAATCCCTGGTGCCTTGGGCTTCCACGCGTCT